AAGCAATATTTTGCAAGAATTAATCGTGAACATCTTAGCAAGTTTCCATACTGATACAGGGGAATGACATTTGTAAGGGAAAAGGGAGGCTCTTTCTCATAAGTTTACAGTCTCACCCCTTGCAGGTGTCATTCTTTGTTTTGCTCACTTCTTTCTAGCCATTTGCTGAATACCTAACCAAGAAGCCCTACCTCAGAAGGAGAAAGAAATGTAAAGACTGACAGCAGGGAAGATGAATATATGAGATACAGGAGAAAAATATAATTAATCTTTTGGTGTCTGTGCTTGGGGTCATAAATGAGTTGAAACCTGTAATTATGATAATAAACACAAATTTTGTGACACTGAAATCCACAAAAATTTAATATGGGTAGAAAGTGGGCTTTCAGTTGTTCAGCATCCCAGGGGCCACTTTGGTGTTTGTGGAATCCTATTAGAATGCCCTGGTGACATACTTCACTCTTCCCTTAAGCCTTATGGCCTAAGTACACAAAGGCAGCCTTAGGACAGAGAAGGAGTAGGGAAGGGGTTCCAAATGGAGCCTTTATGAGTGTCCCTGATCTGTCTACCAGAAACTTGGAGGGAGCCAAAGGAAGAGACTGAGAGTTAGGACCAGAAGTCCTGCGTACACCAAATCTTCCTCCTGTAGCTTTTGCAGGGATCTGACATCCTGCTTGCTCCTACAGTGTTGAGACACCATTTGGCTTCCGTCCTAGAGGTATTGTGACTGCTTCAGTGCTACACAAGCAGTTCTGAGCAGTAATGAGTCTAAAATGAAAAGTATTGGGACCAGTTATTGAAAAGACAAAGATCAGTCAAAACAGGCACTCAGTGAAGAAAAATAAAATGAAAATAATGTCAAATGAAAGCTCATCATGATGTCAAACTATTTAATGACATGGGGAAATGGCCATGCCTGAACACTAAAGAATAAAAGCAGTCTACCAGTTAATACACAATGAGGGCAATCAAGACCCTTCTGCCTGGCAGCAGCTAACAGAGACCCTGTACTGAAAGGACCTGGACTTTGCGTTTGTGTGTGGAGAGGGAAGGAAATCCCTGACACCATGATACGAGAGGTCGTGGCTGAAAGAAGACTGCCCAACTGGATTCAGTGACTGCTGGCCAGGATCAGAGCTCCTTCCCTCCTCTGTCCTCCACTCTTGCTGGTCCTCTGGGTGGTTGCGCCACCATCCCCTACTCTTCCTGCCCACCCTCTTATTGATTGACAGTCACCAAATCTGTCACCCCCGACTGCCAGTTCACTGCGTCCCCTCTTCTCCAACCCCAAGGCCCCCACCGCAATCCCAGTCGCCTGGCCTCTTTAGCCCTCTGATTGCAGAGACCCTGCCACAAGTGCCCAGCTGATCCCAGAACCGGTTTCCTCTTCCCGCTATGGGTGTTTCCCTATATCTTATGGCAGCTAAGAGCATACTGTCACATGATCAGAAGGGGAACATTCAGAATTTTAGAATCTCATTGGACGTGCAGATATAGTCAGCCTGAACTTGGGCCTTGAGCTAAAGGCTGCAGCAGTACCTGTTGTGTAAGCCAAGTGGAGGCCTGCAAGTTTTCTGGCACTCGAAGCAAACACATTCTCTTTAAGGTCACTAGGATGAATTCCTAAAACTAATGCATAGATCAAAGTCCATATAAGATTATTTTGACCCATCAGACCCTCATGTGGGTTTTATACAGCAGAAGTCCCACCATGGAAGAACAAAATTACTCAAGACTTTATGAAGTCGAGAGAGAGGGAGCTGGAGACCAACTCCCTGAGCTCCTGCAAAGCTCTCGTACTTATTGAGAATAATTAAACAAAGGACCAAAGTAAAATATGTCATAGGAGTGTGTAGGGGTATGGTGCAGGTGCAAGGATACAGATTAGCAGCTTCGTGAGAAACGGAAACATTATAATT